GTTAAGTTTAGATGTCCCCCCCCCCCTTCTTGGTAGTGTGTCCCCCTGTTTGTTTACTTTAGCCCACATGTTCCTTTAGCCCACATGCCCACAAGTCAGAGGGTGATTTTCTTAAGAAATCAATGTACCAAAAATAATTTTTAAAACTCTGTGACTTTTACTCGCTAGTTTTCCTATTCAAGGGGTACGGAAGCACGCCACCAGGGGTCAGCTTTTAGGCTCTATTTTTTGGAATGATGTCTCATTCAATAGTGAGCAATTTATTTCATTCAATTTATTGGAGACCAAAAGACAAGTTCGTTTAGAACTTACAGCAGGACTGTTCTTATCAGAACAAAAAACTACTTAGCAAAGTTGATAATAAGCAGGACAAGTTCTTTTCAGAACTAATATCTTCTAAGCAGTAGTTATTACCACATGGTGTTACCGCAAACCGAAACGATACCGATACCCCACCATGCAAAGCCTCAAATTTATTTCATTGCTAGAATAATAGGAAGTTAAAAACAACATCTATTTTTCAGGTTGATACTCGAAAAAATAGCATGGACATGCTTACATACATGTATGATTACAGATACGGTAGCCACTGTAACCCAAGGCTTCATTTAAGGCTCTGACTACAGCTATCACTTTGAATTAAGGTATGCATGTAACATCATGGATTAGCCACTATGTAGCCATAGTGAGGATTCAGTTACGGCTTTGACTATCACTTCGAATTAAGGTACACTGTGTGAATGAATGTACAATAACATGTAATGTGGATTTCTACACTGATTCCTCTAAGTGTTTTTTTTTCGAGAAAGATACTTTCAAGTTCAACCTTCACACATAACTCCTTCCCTCTTTTTTTTTAGTGGGGGAGGGATTAAAATGATAAACTACACAGGGTTCCACTCCAACTTGACATTTTTACAGGATTGCAGCGCAGCGATATTGGCGCTGTATTTTTATTGCTTATTTGTTCAGTTGAGCGTAAGTAACAACAGGGGGCTTATTGCCAGTCATTCCGGGGGAAACTAAGACAGGCCCTCCGGGGATGGGGGATACTGATAAATCAAAGAGAAAACACGCGTCGGAATCGTGTCCAAATATTTATCAGGAACTATCAGTTCTGCTTCTGGCCGTGTCTTCGCTTGTTTTTTGGAGAGCCAAGATACGACAGGAAACGATGCCACGGATGTCTAATTCTATTTGTCCGAATCTTCAGAGTGATATATTGTTAATTTACCGCAGAGACCATGACAGATTATTTCTTGGAATAAAACTGATTCAAAAACAAATAACTAGTAAATATGCTGTTTTTACGTAACTTGATTGTTTTTCAGAACTGAAGCAAATCTCCAATAATAAATTAACAATTTCTTTCTTCAACTGAAGTGTCTTTCTTTTAATACCGAGACATACATGTAGCAGCAATACATTTCGATTTCTCTGAATGAGTTAATATGAATTTTGTTTAGGCAACCTACATGTAGGAATTTTCAAGTCTTTCAAAGAAAATATGACTTTGCTTCAAAAAAAGGAGGAGGGGGAAGAAACCGAAGCAAAAATAAGAGGTGACTTCGTCTACTTGTTAGTTGGAAGTTTTCTAACAAATCTTCAACAATCAATTATCCATTTTTATGGCAGCATTATATGTATGTATTAAACATACCCCTTTCAACTTACTGGCCACAGCTACAGTGCATTCTTGAAACAGCTCAACTCACCACTTATTTAGAAAACTTGGAAAAGGGGGTCTCTTGGTTTTCTTTTTTAATCTGCGGTGCTCAGTCATCCATGACCGTGACTGAAGAGATGCAATTAAAGATAGGGTACAAAATGTAAAGTGCTCAAAATTTAAAGAAGGGTGCTTTTAAAACAACTAACTTGATGAAGTTTTAGCTCAGTAAATGCCGAGAACGCACTGAACCGATCAACTGACGAATTATAGCAACCGCATGCGCGTGTGCGCCGTGTCAACGCTTGCACACACCCATGCACGGCTTTAAAACAGACTACTATTAACAGAAATTTCCAAAAATGCGTCTTTAGACACATCTTTGGGAATGACATTCTTTTAATGTTCTCTTCAAAATGACAGCATGCCAGAAATAATAAATTCACAGGGAGTTTTTACTATCTTTAAAGCAAGTATGCTTTTTAACAATAATTTCGCCAGTTACATTTTGGATAGCTGCAAATGATCTACTCTAATGGAAAGCTAATGAAATACCCTTAGGCCAAAAAAAAAAATCTCCGGTTTTTGGTATGCGCGCGCGTCGCAGTAGCCATGCGCGTCGGCAAAATGAAAAAGTTTTTTTTTCAATGAAAGATGATGTCTCAAAACCGCCAAACTCACTGGTTTGACTGGAATCCTGCTGCTGCACAATTTTAACGTGTTTTTAGATTGGGTTATGGTCAAGAATAAGCTTTATGTGGCCTCTCTGGACTCCCATTTTTTTGCACTAAGCTTAGTCGGGCACCATTTGCAGTCATCAGCCGACATTTGAAGCAAAAAAATCAGGTAAAAAAAAAAAAAGCCGCGTCGCCGCACCACTTTTTGGGCAAGCTCTATAGCAGAAACCGGAGACTTTTTGTTTTTGGCCTTAAAGATGGACCCACTTAAACAGTTTTCAAGTTTATAACTTTTGCTTTGCATATTTAGCCATTGTTTTCAGATTACTTTTATTTTTACACATCCTGTACATCAAGCCAAGCTGATTCATCAACATGGAGAGCAGAGCATACTCTCCCTAATCCATACTGGCAAACTTATCGCTGAAAAAATACCCCGAAGCTTGAATCATCTCACACTGAATTAAACTCCCCAATACAAATTGCATATTCTCAAATTCGAGAATAGGTAACGCATCTTGACAGGTTGAAATATTGGCAAATTATTTCAATTTCTAAAAAAAAAAAAAAAAAGTGTTCACTATCTCAGTTCCCAATTCTGCCTGGTGATATACATACCGGTACATGTTGGTAATTCGAAACCTGAAATCCAATCTCGGTAAATCAATTTTTTTCCGATCAGACGGCAGCAGCTCAGGTGGAAAAATGATCTTCAAACAGGATTAAAGGATCGCCGGTAGACCTGGAGCCAATAGCTAATGGCATTGAAATGTGCTAAGCATTAAAAAAATGTGCTTACTAAAACCGGTTACCAACCAAAATGGCGTGTACAAAGTAATGGATATTGCTTGTGACCGGTTCTCTGCCGATTTCCGTTTAGCACAAACATCTGCTGAGCAGTACATGTATTTTCTGCTTTTCAGCTCCGTGATGTCTTTTAAATCCTCGATGTCGTTTAAATCCTTCCCCATCATCGTGAGATAGTCCGAACTACTTTATTTCCAATCTCTTGAGAGGGATCATCGGTTTTTCTATTTTCGGGAGGAGGGAGGGGAAATGTTTGGAGCCCCTTAGTCCCAGACTGATCCAATTCCACGGAATCTGGGGCGATGTTGTCTGCCTGGCGCATACCACCCTTCAACCCAATTATCTGGTGGAAACCGGTTAAAGATGTACATGAACTGTCCATATGCTTCAACAAATTCAACTTTATTTTCGCCCAACTAACTTTCAGCCTGTACCGTACATGTATATTTTATTTTAACAAAAAACCCTACTTTTTGCTGGTCGCAGAGGTCCAGCTTTAAGTATGTCTTTGTACATATTTGACTGACTGACTGTTACTTGTGACTTAAACTGGTTGTTTAACATTGGTACATCTTTAAAGTCTATTGGAGTTGATTGCTACAGAAGAAGGTGACATTTGGCGAACAGTGGGTATTCTGTTCAAGACTTGAGGGGGGGGGGGGTTTCGGAGTTCAGCCTTGGGTATGATGCAGGAAAATTATAAATCCAAGCTGAAGTCTATAAGGCAGAAATTCCCACAAGAGCATGCCTGAACATGACCCTGCCTGACTCAAATATTCTCAATTTATTTGAAGTTTCTAGTCAGTTTCAGTTTTCATGCCTTGTGGAGCGTCACCTTTACAGACCCAATTTTAGTCTCACCAGGTAACCGAGTCAATCGTCCTGTGTCAGTCTCAACTTCATCAGCAAACGCTCTTCCTTAAATACAACTCTCTGAAGGTTGCCTGCCACATCTACAAAATCTCATTTCTTATCTCAGTCTTCCCCCTATGGAATTTTTGCTCTTACAGATATGTGCCAACTTTGGCTAATTTACTTCAGAATCAAAACTCTTGATAACCTAGAGAATATTTTATGGTGCATACGTGTACATATTTTAATGCCATAAAGATTTTTATTATTGATGCATCATTATTTTCAACACATTTTTCTCAATGTTGTGTTTAATGTTTCCATGCCAAATTTTCCTGGACACATCTGTTTCTGTTAACACAAATTTAGTGGAAGGACTGAGAACATCTCACATCCGACCGTAACTTGACACGACATCCATTTTAGACTGGTGGCCGAAAGCTGAACCAAATAACCAGATTTGAATAATTAATGTCAATGTTTGAAACAGTACAGGGTGACTATGTATGCACAAGCCATCAACACATGTTACTCATCTGTTGCAGTCCTTCAGAATCACTCCAGAGACTAGTCATGGTAAATTTCACCTATGGTAAATTTCACCTAGATGCTAAATTTTATGTAATATGGTAAATTTCACCTATTATGGTAAAATTCGCCCTTTATGGTAAATTTCACATATTATGGTAAGTTTCACCTATTATGGCAAATGTCACCTACATGTATGGTAAATGTCACCTTTGGTAAATCTCACCTACAGGTATTATGGTTAATTTCAGGTGTGGTAAATTTCACGTGTGGTAAATTTCACTTATGGTAAATTTCACTAATGGCAAATTTCAAATATGGTAAATTCAGATGTAAATTTCAGTCTGTAAATTTCACACGAACTTCACCTGTCTGAAAGCTACTTGGGTTGACTAGAGTCGCACCTAATGATTTTTTTGATTGGTGTCATTCTGCAACGTTGATTTTCATACGGAGGTAAATTTACTTACCGAGTCAACATGTATGTAGAAGTAATGATCTGTGTGGAACAGCAGCCGTATCAACCGACGGACTTGGCGAAGAGCTCGGCCGTGAACAACTAGAACGTACACAATGCGTACTGGTTTATCGTCGACTAGCTTGTACTTGATTTTGTCGTCAACTTCATTATTTGGTTTGCCTGAAGAAAAAAACCCAAACGTAACTTTTACTAATTATGTCATTTAACTTGAACTCTCTCTGCATTTTTGCAAGGAAGCCGACTGAATTACAAACTCCAAGACTAGAGAAAATTAAATAAAAGCAAATGATTAAGAATCAGAGAGAAAGAAAAAATCATACAATACCTTTCAGGGGGCACATTCTTGCAATCTTCTGAGGATAGAGGGAGCCCTTCTTCATCCGACAGACGACGTCGGCAATGTCCTGCTTGCATTGCAGCGTCGTGGCACGACCCAGCGCCGAAACGGCATCCTTTCCTTCAATCGGACAACTCGATGAGTAATCGAACTGGACAGTCTTATTGCCGACGATGGTCATGTTGGCCTTCCTGCTCTGGTACTGTTTCACTGGTTTCCCGCCCCCAATGGGCGAAGTTTCCTTGTCCGCAGGCAAGGCTCCATCGAATGGTGGGGCTTCGTCAGGTGGGTCATTATCATCATATGCCGGCGGGGCCACCAATATGGCCGCCTTGTCCATTGAGTTTGCATTAGCACTGTTAGTAAGTTGATTTGAGTTGACCTGCTCGGGTACCGGTTGCTCGGGTACCGGTTGCTCGGGTACCGGTTGCTCGGGTACTGGTTTAGTCTTTGATTTTGTCTGTTTCCCCTTAGTCCGCCTCCTGTCCAACGGAAATTTGTCCTCCTTTGTCTGTTTGGCCCGACCGCCATGGCGATACACGGGTGATTCGTTAAACTGATTCATGGCGTCTTTGAAGATGCCCAGCGACAGAACACTAGCAACAGTGACCTGTTGGCGTGGCACGTTACCTTTGCCATTCTGAAAGTTGTTTTCTTTTATCTGAAATGAAACAAGGTCAAGATTCATAAACTTTTAATAGGGTGAGCGATTTCAACAAGCCGATTCTGATAAAGGGTGCATGATCCTCTACGTCTGTAGCCACGGCTGTAGTCATTTACAAAACGCTTTTTTCGACAATCAGTTGAGGGGTACTGAACCCATACTGACAGATTCCAACAAAACATGCGTTGGGGTTTGATGGGTTGAGTTCTGTTAGGGTTAAAGTTCAGAAGACAATCTGAATCCAACGAGTGCTGAAAGGTTTAAAAATAAAACCAAAGGAATGCCTTAGTCTTGATGACTTAAGACTTGATGACTTGTGATGGACTTGTGACGGACTTCAAAAATAGTCTAAGGGCTTGTGTTGTCTGATGTTTGCAAAGGTTGTACATACTACGTGTATCTTTAAGTACGGAGCGAAACTCTCAGAAAGGGAGCACTAGCCCCTGATATCAATTTCATCAAGTCTGGATACTAAACGCCCCCGCCTTGTCATACACTTGAGGGATAGAAATCACCTGAAATGGCTTCGACATGAGAGATGTTCTGGAAACAAAAAAAATCCACTTGAAGTTGTTTGCCGAGACCGACAAGATGTGACAGGGGGATTTCATGGGGCTCAAAGCGCCATTCTCAAGAGATTGCGATTGACGGGGAGAGAAATGAAGGGTGAATGGATCATCTGAAGCACAATTTAACCAAGAGCTGCCGTAGACACTTAGAGCATCTGAGAGGATGAAATTGGACTCAAAAACTGCTGACAAAAATGAAGTAGGGCAATCAATTCTGAGCTGTCACATTCAATTTTAAATTCCTTTTACTAACTAATTCATGTTCGCACTGGACTTTTTTGGGGTAAAACTAAAGGGAGACTGACATAACGTAAACTTTACAGGGATGGTTGTCAACTTCTTCCAGTCATGTCAAGTTTGAACCTTAACCCCCTGGGCCCTTTTGGCTATAGGAACCATCCTCAATCCTGCAAAATCCTCTAATTGCTACCATGTAAAAATTGGGTTCAGCCTCATCCACCAAAAGCATCCGTATTTCTGAATTTGTTGAGTGGAGGAAAGGTCATTGCCTCAATCTGCCAAAATCCTTCAACAATCACTGTGATGGGTTGAGGCAGTGCCGACGACATTCAGAAGCAGTGCGGATGATATCGAGCCTAATGCAGGGCTCAATTATGCATGACTGAATGTAAACAATGCTCGGTACAGCCCGCGAACTCGACACAATGCATCCTCCGAAATCAACCAACATTTTTTTTGCCATTTAGCCTCAAAAATCCTCCAAAACCAAGACCGTGGGACTGGGTTACAGAAAAATTACATTGTTAGATTTACTATGTAAAACTAACGTTATGATCAAGTGCAGTTTCTGTGTGGGTCACCTACATGTACGTGTATCTTGGCCTCTGTAGTTCACATGTGTAGGCCTAAATACTGTACATGAGATTTTTTTACTGTACAGTATTTTTAAGACTGTGTTCTGTGACATCATTGGCTGCATTTTTCCACAACCACATTTGGTGTAAGAGCGCCCTCATAAGATACCAAGGGAGCACGCTACGGTAAAGGGAATGACTTTCGGCAGGCCAAAATTAAGTCCAATGTGAATGCAGTTTCAGAATCCACAAAACTTGACAGCACACCTCAATTTCGGTCGGACAAGTTGGATGATTTCTATAATTTTTCAAGCACGGTTTCACCAGCATCAGAACACTTTTACAACCTTAACACTTCTTACTGTTTACTTATAGCCACTCGATCCCTCTACATGCAAAAGATTTTTGTGTCAACAGGCCGAGTGAAATCCAGTTCAGCGATACATGTCATTGTTGACAGAACTGATATCTCCAGAACACCTGCAAGTGTGTATTTAAGAATTAACCCAACAAACTTCTTTTGAGGGTGTTCTAAAATTACTTCAGATTTTAAACCCATGGATTCAAACATCTTTCGCTCTTTGGAATCCTCCAAAATCTGCCTCCTTCCGCAGTCTCGACTAACCAACAAATTATCACCTGCAGACCTCTTCCGTTGGTACACAACTCTTTGCCCAGACTCGCAGGAAACCGCAGGTGTTTCCAAACAACCAAAATTACATCAATACGGCCACACTGAACGCAAACCAAGATTATCTATCACGCGGAGACTCTTAACAATCGATGTCGGGGAGCACCGTAGATGTACCTTTACCAGTCGATTGTAGCAAATTGTGTCTAGCTTTTAGGGAAATCCAGCTGTCTAGAATCGACCGATTCTGGAGTAATTTACTTTTTTTCTGCAACCAAGTATAGTCACTAACCGTAACACGCATGCATCAGTTGTCTCAACAAGATGGTTCTAGCTGTGGACTAAATTCCTTAAAACACCCCGCTTACAGTTTATGTACGTAGATGATTTTAAACTTTTATACCCCCAATCAAATATTACATGTGCACTCTCCATAATAACTGAAGCATATCCCTTTAAATGCAGCACTCATCTTGTTAGGTGAAGTTGTTGTTTTGATTAACCCTCCTATGCAAACATACACTCTGTGCAAAACTGTTTTTAACAGTTAAAGAGCTCCCAGCCTACATAAAGCAGGATTGACTGACTGTGTCTGTTTTATACATGTATGTAACTTGATACAGCTATGCTTTGACTGTAAGTGATTGATAAGCCAGCTGTGCCTACCACTTGCCAGCTTTTGTCGGTTGACTAAATTTGACTGGTCAAGGTACTTGCTTCAAATATGATCCGACTGCTGGTGACTAGCCTGTGTAAAAGGCACGGCAGGGGAAGATTTTTCTGACTGTCTGTGACTGTTCAGACAGCAGGAGGGTTAAGTAACCATGAATGCACACCAAAAGGTCTACTGCACCTCCAAAATGGCTACCATGCAAAGAGTCTATCATGGACAGTGACTATACTTGGTTGCGGAAAATAAATTAGCATCCTGGGGAGTTGCAGACAAAAACATGTAAATCAGATCCCCTTCCAGGACTTCTTCATCAAGACCCCATAATGAGTATTGGTTTCTGGATTGAGCACAATCAGAGGCAACGAGGCAAGAGCGCCCACGGATTGCAAACTCGCATCGTGCATCGCCCCCTCCTACTCGTCTTACGTTTCTAGTCCAAACAAGGCTTAGTGTAAGGTTCCCATGTCCTGAAGTCTTCGCTCTAGAAGGACGGAGAGATTTTAATTTTTTGTTAGAAGGGTGAACAAATGCTGTGTCAATAATAAACGGATCATGGAAGATATCCAATTCCAATGACCGATGTGCAAGTCCGATGCACTTCGGAGAGTTGGAATGAACCCTTACGTTTTAAATAGACACATACTGGGGCTGCAGTGCACATTTTTTGTAGATGCTCACAACATGGGAAAAATGAAACATTTGAACTTAAATACTGTGTATTTTTCACCATATTTCGTTAATATTTTAAAACCCTAACCCTGCTGAATCCAACAGGATCCAACTATAGCATATGAGCCTGTTGGATTGAGCAGTAAACCCCTTGTGTACATTCCTGATGCAAAATGTTGGATTCAGCAGGCAACTAAACCGCATTATAATGCCAAGTTGGACTCTGTTGGATTCAGCAGACAAAGGTGCAGTGGATAGAGCAGGAAACTCCAGTTGGACTCTCTTGGATTTAGCAGGGTAGTCCTGAGGAACTACAAGGGGGTTAGGATTAGATGTTCTGTCCATGCTCTTCAAAAAATTGGGTTTTTTCTCTTCTCAACTTGAATGTTTCATTTTAATGAAAAAAAATTCCAACTTATTTTCTAATCTTGAAATCTGCAACCCTCTGAAAAAAGAAGAAGTTTTTACATGTACCGGTATATTGGGTTGCTTATGCGCACAAATATATCTGGCATGGGAGTACACTAGTTCCCAGTCCCTACCGGTACATTACTAATTCTTATGGGCGAGGGACCAGTCTATCCTGCGATAAGTGATTTATTTGTCAGGCTGCAAGTAATAAGCAATTTGTACTGTAATTGTTCCAAAAAAAATCATGGCCGATGCATTCATTCAATGTTAAATACTAATAAAAAAACTAGAACTTCAAAAGAAAGTAACTTTTAACAATTTTTTTTATTTAATTCAATTTATAATGTATTTTTTTGAGGGGGGGGGGGAGAGGAAATTACAATTAGCATGGGCAGTTCATCTTCAATTTTGGTACCAGTTTTAAATAACAATAAATAGTTGGCAGAAAACAGACCGTTTTTAAACTGTAATGTGGAATTTTAGTGCGTAATATATATTTCTCAAAGAAATCTACTCATAATTTGATCAAATATAAAAAAGTGACCTGTAAGGTGAATTTACAGAGGGTTTCTTGGAAGAGGAAAAACATGTGTTTTCTGCATACCAGATAATTTATCTGACAATGAAAAGTTCCGGATTCACATTCAGGAAGTATTTAAACTTCCACGAAAATGAGCTATTTGGGGAAAAAAAAGACACTTACTTGATTGATCAATTTTACATCTGACAATTTTAGATCAATTGTAAAAAAAAAAATCTAGATGTTTTACTACTAACACCGTAAACATGTGTTGTACAATAAGGGAATAACAGTGTGAGGATTAAGTCTGCACTGCGTGATGATGACCAGGTTTGGGAATGACCGCTGTTAATGGACCGAGATGAATACCTTTTTAATGAAATAAACAGTTAAATGCTCCAATTTTGTCAATTTTCTTTTGGCGATATTTCCAAACTTTTTGTATTCATGTTCAGTGGCCATATTTTAGCTTATGCCTGGTACCCTGTCTCTTCAATATCCATGGTTATATACATTTGCCACCCTAGCGGGCCCAGGCTGTGCTGGATGACGTCTTCATTGCATAAAATTACGACTGACATGCAGGGTATGAACTTCTGCTGCCGTAGCGAAACCAGTTAGCAGAGCCAAGAAATTGGGCCCTGATCCCATCTCAGACGAAACAGAGCAAGTTCATAGGTGTAGCCAGCAAGGGGGGGGGGGGGGGACT